TTTTTTTCTTTTATTTATTTTTCTTTTCTTTTGTTTTCATTTCTGTTTAACCTCAATACAGTTAGAAAACACTCATGCACACGAAATATCATGATGAGATATCTGACTCTAGATTCAATTTTTGGGTATTGGTACAAACTAAGGATTGACGGACCAAATAAATAAATACAATATTTTAATACAACCTTTATGAAAAAAGACATTCATATCCCTTTAATATGGTTGTTTTTTTTTTACAATTTTGGACACAATGCACTCGTATTTTTTCTTATAAAGAGTCTATACTCTTAATTGACAAGACACTAATCTTGGGTTTCCTGTGTTCCATAAACCAACATAGAGCTCGATTTTGAAAGTTCTTCTTCTTGTAAACTTGTCTTTTCTTGCTGTCCTTTTATTTCATTTTAGCCTGAAGAAAAATAAGAAAAAATGGATAACGTTTATAGCAATATAAGACAATTCATATATTTAAGTTTGACGTGTTTGTCTAATTCTCTCACACTTTTTAGCTTAGAAAATTGTTCATGATTTTAGACGTAAAATTGTAATCGACTGAAAGTTACGAAAAAAATCTTGCAAAAAAAAAAGTTGATTAGGCATTAATTATAGTTTCAGGTTACTCATCCTGGTACTAACCTCGCTCAACTGGACTTGACCCAGCAGGTCGTTGAAGCTCAAGTTTTTCCCCCACTGGGCCACGATTCCAGGTGAATCAGCATTACAATAGCAGAAAACACTGCATGCACCTGTAAGAGTAGACTTTTAGCATCATTCTTTCAACCGATTCCGTGCGTGGCAGAGTGCAAGGAAATAGCTGTTAATGTTCTGGTGGCAGGCTAGTCTCTCCTCTGATGCTTCGGCCAGAATGAACATTTCCTTGCGTAATTCGTACACCCAAGGGCAGTAATGGTGCAAAGTCTCTATTCCAGACGTTTGCATGATGGCGTCATTGGCCTCTGCTACCAGACTCCCTTGCACACTTTCTTTTGTCCAGTTAATTAGCACCAATTGTCTTACTATTCTCATGAGGGAATACAAATTTAAATCAGAAAGAAAATTCGCGAAACATCTTGGTAGTGGGAGTCAATTGACGCCATCATGCAAACGTCCTATTGGTAAGCAAACTCGATCGGAAAAACCAAGTGTTTTTTTCTGAATTGAAATGCTGGCTAGGAACAGTTTAGTGAATACAATAGCTTTTACTGCACTTGGTTTCAATCCTCGGTATTTTCTCTGTTTACATGGCACTGCGACTACTGCAAGTCTACATGTCTATCCAAATAAAGGACCCAGTATTTCCAGTCCCCGCTCAAAATTAAGTACCAACCCCCCCCCCCCCCTCACCTTGTAATGTTAAGGCTTCTTCGAGAAAAAGAGCTTGGCGCTGGAATAATTTTAGACAAAAAATTAAAAACTGCCAGGCAGTTCATCATGGGCAATTATTATAAGTATCACGAAGAGAGTCGTTTGCATTCTGTGCCGCCAAGACAAACACGTTGAAATTGAAGCTGACAGGAATCGCTTGAAGTTTCACCAGAAATTAAATAAAGATAGAAGACTTTAATTCGATTAGAATTTGTTCTATCGTTGACAAATTAAACTAAGCCAGGGCCGTAACCAGAACTTTTACAGGGAGGGTGCACATCGAATAAAATCGGACCATTGATCGTTTTTTTTTTGTTAACAACTCAGTGGCGTAACTAGGGATCTTGCAGGGAGGTGCACAGGCAAAAATTTGCAGAACCAAAAAGAAAAAAAAAGGTAACGAAAAGAAAGCAGAACCAAAAAAAAAAAAGAAAAAAAAAGGAGATGGATGAGCAAACCTTAAGCTTTTAACGGGGGGGAGGGGGGGGGGGCGGGGGGTGCACGTGCACTCTGTGCTCCCCCCTGGTTACGGCCCTGTAAGCTCCTCTAGCCCCAGTCCTAATCGGCAAACTGCGCACTCTTTTCTTATCTGTTTAACTTGTTGAAACCTCTTATGGGCCACCGTAAATATTGGCATTAAAATAACAACTGTCGATCAAGGGCAAGCACAATAGTCACGTATTTACTAAACAATAAGAAAGTCAAGGAATGAAGCACAAACCTTAGCGATTTTTACCTTCTTTTTCTTCAGGCTGAATGAAATAAAAGAACAACAACGAAAGACAAGGTTGCATCTCATTTAACGCTGCTCTCCATATTCCCGCATCTTACTTTTCGGGGAGAATCGTGGCAAAGTAGAAGCTGAGAGCTCGTGGCATGTCAAGGGACTAGTTCGATTTAAATGCCTTTTTCTCTGAATCTACATTTAGATAATTTTTCTGAGGTTGTTCCGCAGGTTCTTCCCACGTGTTCCTCAGATTCCGCCGTAATTCAATCCGAGGTCTCTCCCCCTCTTGCAATTGAATGGTTTTGATGAGTAAAAAAAAGCAAAAGAAGTTTTAAATATCATTTTTAATACTCTAAGATTTCTGAATACCCTCGGGGCCGGGCTTTTGCTAATGATTTCTCAATAGGTTGATTGTTGGATGGGTATGGGGATTTCAAGGGGGTTGGACTTGGTGCAATGTATGTCAAATGGGTCCCTGGCTCCTATCGTGTACCAATGAACTGCGGGAAACAAATCTTACACACACACACAAAAGACACGTCCATAAGGAAAGACAAGAGTTCGGTCGGATGTGGGAAAAAGTGGGATATTAGGTATGTTTGGAAACGAAAACCTCAAGAAGAAATATAAGAGTTTCGTCTGAAAAGGGAAAATATAGTCATTGGGTCTCCTTGAAAACAAAAGCCTCAAGAAGAAAGATAAGACCTTCCTTCCTAAGGGACAATAGTGATAGTGAAAATAGAGTTTCGTCTGAAAGGGAAAAAAGTGATGATACTGTAGCTTTGGAATCAAAAGGGAAGAATCGACTTCAAATATTAAGATTATTAATTATATTCAGATAGAATTCCAAGCTCCTGCCGCCCTTGGTTCCATAACAAAAACAACAAAACAACTTCTTAAATCTTTTTTAAACCTTTTCCAAGTTTACAAGATGTAGATTATATAATAATATTTAACCTACAATCTATTTGAATAACAAACTGTTACATCTAAGAACAAACGCAATTGGCAGGTGGGCAGTTTCCAAGGGCGCAATTGGCTTGGCACCAAGCATCCATATTAGCATTTCCGGTCCAGGGACCAGTAGCCTTGCATCCATTACCGCCGCCACCACCACCGCTCGTAGTTGGCTGAGGACCTTGCGTTGTGACAGCAGGTGCAGAAGTAGAAGGGGGCGCAGGTGTGGCTGGGAAAGTAGGTTGTACACCAGATGTCAGGTATTTCTTGACTGCACTTATCAATGGATACTTTCCTTGACCACAGTGCTGACCTGAGAAGTCGTCCAAGTCTATCGCCCAGAACATGACACCCCGTAGGGAGTTTTTCTTGACCACGTTGTCGATCTTGTAGATCAAGCTTTGTTGATCATCAAAACCAACCCACGTCTTGCCTTTGTAGCCATAGGGTGCCATGGCTTTGTTCTTGTGGACGACGGTCAGCCCAAGTTTACAGATCTCAAAATAGGCAAGGAATCCTTCTGCGCCCGTGTATTGACCTTTGGGTGTAAATTGATAATCTCGAGCAGCATCCAGGCCGTTGTTACCGGGACTGGCGAGTCCGAATGCACGTCCGTACGTACCGAGTCCAAGAACGATTTTATTGGCAGGCATTCCTTTTCTAATACCAGGCTTTTCCCATGTGTCTCTGTTGTTCATCCAATACCAAATGGCAAAT